ACCCCCTAACAAAAAAAACAAGAAGTCAGCCGAAAAACCCCTCTTTTCGGAGACCATTGTCGGTTAATTTTCAAAAGCTCCTTCTCCCTGATAAGAAGCCACATTGCATACCGCTTTTCATTGTTGTCTCAATTGTTTAATCTTTGATAAAATCTTCCGCTACTGGGGGATGTTCAGTGATAAACACCTAGCCATGAACCCCAAAACATGGCGACCCTTAGGGCCTTTTAGTACTTTTTCGCATTGGACCAATCGACAAAAAAAAGCAGAAGAAACAACAACAAGCAGCGTATGCAAAGAGCTTCTTACCAGAGAGAAAGTGCTTGTGAAAATTATCCAACAATAAAATTCAAAGAGAGCGATTTCCCAGAGAACTGTTTTTTTTTCAATACGTGGAATTTTTTACACGTGGACAGAAGGGGGGGGGGGGCGTGACCTAATATCGATTGATTACATAACGTGTTTAATTTGAAAAAAAAAAGAATATTTGAAAAGCTTGAAAATTAAACATAACTAGGCGTGCACTTTCGGAAAAAGAAGTAGAGCAGTAAAATGAATAGGTGAATTCGCGCCAAAGTCGCACCAGCCCGCTGCTTGAAGCGCCGGAGGCGGTACCTAAATAAAAACGTACTGCGTACCCCCGAATTGTGGATTTTGTACCTCTAAATCACTTTGTACTCCCTTGTACCCTCCGAATTGATGTACCACACTTGGGTCCCAGGAAGCGGGCCAGAAAAGGCGCCCTAGCAAACTCGTAGGCCAGAATAAATTTAATAATTTTAAAGTGGACGCGGGTTTAACCTAGATCATGATCTATTTCTTTAAAATCAACGCACGCTTTTTTCGCTCGTCTTTTCAAAGTTTGATGCTCAGCCAGCGAGACTTGGCATCCAATTGAGAATTTTTACGAAATTTACTGGGGCGCGATTTCTGACTCGCTTCCTGGGACCTCAGTAGTACCATCCAACCTGTGAGATGCAATTTTTATTCTGATCTACTTTTCAAAATTGTACCCAATACCGAATATTTCCAGCGCGACGGAATCCTCCACATGCGTGGCCGTGTTCGCCTGGGGACGGAACGTCTTCTCTTCCAATGTCCACATCTCCGTCCCTATCTGCCAGTCTGGATGGAATGCGTCTTTGTGCTTGTGCTCAATTCCACCACAAACTGTTTATCGTTCCAGCCAATAAGCACTGTTTTACCAGTAACACATTTTGTTCATGAAATTCTTTGAAATATTTCTTCAAATAAAGAATACAAAGCCTAAAAACTATTTCTTAAAGTGCTTTCAACGATAAGACACCCACACAAACAATATTTGATCTCTTAATGGAGAGAGGACATCATGTGATGATTTGATTTCCAATTTTTCTCTTTTTCGTTTGTTTGCCTGATTTCATTGATTTGATTCAAACAGACTGATTCAAGACAAAGACAGTTTACAACTTTTCGCCTATTCTTTCTTTTTCTACTTCTCCAATTTGGAATCGTCATCAGAAGTAGACCCCTTCCTTCCTCTCTTCTTATCCCTTTTCCCTTTCTTTCGGGTAGGACACCGTCCTTCTTTTTCTGATTTCCCTCTATACGTTTCTATGTTTGTAGTCACTCTCTTTTACTGTTCCTCCTATTTGCGCCGAGGGTTTCTATGGATGATGTGATTCAACTATTCTGTTTCATATAGAATCTGAAGACGTACTTCAGATTCTGGTGTTCAGAAGACTCTTGTTTTTGGTTCTGATTGAATTGTATGTTGTTGTATCACTCTTTCTATTTTAGATATCCGGTAAAAATACCGATATTTCTGTGTTGGTACTGTTGCTGACTAAAAATTATCAGTTATATCAGAATCAGTGATATGGTTCAGCGAATAGCATACCGTAAACACTTGAATATATTGTCACCCAATCGTTTAACTTTGAAACGATTTATCTGGATCCCGGTAGAAGATATCAGAAAGTGATTAACTAAAAAATGCTTATCATATTATCAGAAGTGTTTCGTTAGTTAACAATTTTTTAATATCTTTAACAGGAACCGAGATAAATTCGCTCAAAGTTGACAATATGGTTTTTGACACTCTTTTTATGATCCAAATTTAGTGATTCTCAAAACCGCTGTAAAATTTCAGAATGACTCAAACTGACTACACGGAATCTCATGAGCAAATCAAAGACACCCAAATCGGTTACTGCCGATACGGCCATGGACCAAACTATGTTCTTGCAATTTGTGGAGCTGTTGGATGCTATAAAAAAGATTGGCCACTGAAACTTCTGTCCCATTTCCCACCAGACCAAGTGACAATTATTGGAATCGATCCACCAGGGTACGGAACTTCAAGACCTCCAGATAGGAAGCAAGAAGTTCAAAGATGCCAGAAAGATTCCGAATATTGCTTGGGTCTTATGGAGGTACGCCATTTTTGATAACGATTTTTCAATTTAGCTGATTTTCAGGCTCTGAAACTAGAACCGTTCACAGTGATGGGATGGTCTGAGGGTGCTAGGACTACTGTTCACGTGGCAGCGAAAGGAAAGGAGATGGTGAATAGGATGATTGTGATGGCAGGAGCAACAAAAGTAAATCATCTAGGAGCGATGGCATTCAAAGGTGAGAAATATTTTTTAAAAAATTATAACGGTATTGATTTAAAGAGCTGGAAGCTCATGTAAGCTCAGCTTGAAGAACTTAAGCTCATCTTAAAACTCATGTAAGCTTAACTACAACTTTCAGGGATGCGCGAGACGAACCACTGGCTTCCAGCCGGTCGGCAACCATACCTTGATCACTATCCTGAAGAATTTCTAAGGACTCAATGGGCTGCTCTTTGTGATGTTGTTGATCAGTGAGTTTTTTTAGTTATTCATTATCTTAAAGCTGCAATCTTACAACATTTGAGCCCCATCCTCCCTTTAAGCTCTCGTAAACACTCAAATAGAACGCCACCTCTAACTTCCAACTTTGAGACATATCTCCATTCCTGTGAAAGATATTGAAAAGTAGTCAACGAATAAAATATTTCTGATTTTATAACAAACATGTTGTCTGTTGACAAAATTTTCATAAACTTCACAGGAACTGAGAAAAATTGGCTCGAAGTTCAAAGTTAGGGGGCCTAGGGGTTAGGTTAGGGGTTAAGGGTAAGGGTTTTACGGTTTTCGATTTCTCAAAATTGCAGTTCTTGTCCTGGAACATTTCGAGCTCTTCAAGCTATTTCAGAGCTAGTAATCTCCACTTGAAAATCGCTAGCGATTCGTCCAAAAAATACCTAAAAATCTTTCAGAGTTCACACATTCATGGGCGGTCGCTTCCCAAGTGACCTGGCTCTACCCCAGGTGAAATGCCCAACACTGATCATGAACGGAGGAATGGATCGTTTCTGTGGTGACCCGAACGTCTGCTTCATCCCAGTCCTGAAGTCCCTCGCAAAAGTAGAAGTTCATGCTCAAGGGGGACACGATTTCTACCAGAAGTACCCAAAATGGTTCTCATCGAAAGTTCTGGAGTTTTTTAAGAGCACTGAGAAAAAATGAAGGAAATAAAGTTTTTAAATGATTTGCATTATTAGGTTATGTACATTAATTAATTGCTGGCTGGCTCATCAACATATTCAATTATCTCCTCATACGAAACATCGTCAGTTTTCCCGCCACCAGCTTTTCGCTTTTTTGGATTCATTGGGTTTCCTGAAAAGTTCAAAAATTGCATTTTTGGAATATGACATTTCGAAAATTACCATTTTCATCTTCATAAATAATTTCTTCAACGACAACTTCTGATTTGAATGCAGAAGACAACGGGGTCGGTCTTCTAGTGGTACGTCGTTGTGGCTTTGTAGTCGTTATTGGAGGAGTGGAAGGTGTCGTTGAAGGTGTTACCACTTCTAGATGCGATTCTGTAGTTGTGGTTGTGGGTGGAGCATTCGGGGTGGAGGTGGTGGTAGAGGCACTCGTGGTGGGAGGTGCTTGTGTGGTGGTGGTGGTCTGAAAATTCCTAATTTAAACCCAACTAAAATGACACTTGACCCACTTTAACCTTCTTGGTTTTTGGGATTACTGTAGATGTAGTTTGGGTGGTGGTAGTGGAAGCAAGGGTAGTAGTGACATCTTGGGACAAAATATCTTGAGCAATAACGTCATTAGCACTTTCATCAATAACCTCAGCAACTTCTACTTTTAGTCGTCGTTTCGGATGCGCCCGAGTTACAGTAATCTGGGTAGTTGGAGACGGTGAAGTGGGGGAAGAAGAAGGCGATAGGGAGGAAGAAGGAGAAGTAGCAGAAGAAGAAGCTGAGGAAGAAGTGGTGGTGATAAGTAGGGTGCCTTGAGTGGTAGTGGTGGATGGAGTGGTTGGTTGTGTGGTCTGAAGCGATATTAGTAATATCTAATAAACCCTCAAAAAGTCAGACAGGTTTTAGCTAGGTTTTAGCTTTTATGAGATACTGAAACTTCCCTCAGACCTGTAATAAAAGGGCCCCGTCATTGCCAAATTCGAGCTCAATTATCTCGATTCCTATGCAAGATATCAAAATTGTGTCAACGAACAATTTGTTTCTGATATTATGATAAACAAATTATCAGTTGAAAGTTTTTCGTATCTTTAACAGGAACTGAGAAAAATTGGTTCAAGGTTGTCTATTACAGGTTTAAAGTATTTATCAGACAGAAAAGCTCGCTAGAAAAAAACGTGTGGTTTTCAGAAGTTGTTGATAAGGTTTGAAGCTGTGACATGTGACTGGTTAGATTGTTAATGTTTCTGACTTCCTGACAAGACACAAAATATGACCCAGACCGATAATATTAGGTTTCAATTTATTACAAATAAAACAACTTGCGTTTTTGTTCCCAAGCCGACCGAAAGAAGATACAAAAAACAAAAAAGAAACGAAAAAAAATTCAAAGTCTGGAAAGAAATACTTTTTCCTGACGCTGTTGTGATACATGATTTCTGATCAAGTGCCGGAAGTCGACGATTTCCGCTGGCATTAAGTCTCCAGAATTATCCACGTCGATTTGTTCAAAGAATGTCTTGATCATGTTCCTTGGAATCCCATATTTCTGCTCAATAAGGACAGCAATCTCGTCAAAAGTTACAGCGTCATTTCCGTCTAAATCAAACTCCTGGAATAGATAAGTTTATCACTGTATCTGTTTGAAGTGTTATGTGCAAACCTTAAAGTGATCCGTTGCAAACTTTATAGAGCTCAGCCTCACTAATCGGTTGAAATCTGCTAATTCGACTTTGTCTAGCTTCCCACTTTTATTCTGATCAGCAATGTTAAAAAGCGCTAAAGTCTCTTCAGAATCCATATCATCTTCTTTTTTAGTTGAATCAATCGCTTCAGCAGTGGACACCAAACCATCACCATTCGTGTCTATCCTCTGAACAAAAAAATATTAAAACTCTTTCTCAAATGTGGGCGGAGCTTACCTTCATCTTTTCCATTGCATCCTTCACCGAACGAGCCCTAATCACTGATCGGAATCCAGCAAACTCTACATTGTCCAACTGTCCATCCTCATTCTCGTCCGCCTGTCCGAAGAATGGTGACAACGTGGCTTCATCAAACCCATAGTGCTCAAATGCGACCCTCTTGGCCTCATCCAGCGTAAGAGTTCCACTGTTATCAGCATCTACCACTCGCATGGCTTTCTTGCTATTCTCAATTGCTCTGGCTCTGACGATTCGCTCAAAATCTGCAAACTCTGGTGCATTCAACTCTCCATCCATGTTTTCATCAACACTTCCAACCATTGATGCCACGTCACCAGCACCGATTCCTTCTTGTTCGAAGGCAATAGCTTGTGCTTCGTCGACAGAAATGTGTCCGTCTCCGTTGAGGTCGGCATTCTGTAAATATAATGAAGCTAGCTTAGGAAGAATTAGAAGCTTGCAAAGATTCAAAGAAGCTAAAGAGATATCGAAAGTAGCGTAAACACTTCACCAGATTGTCACCCAAATCGTCAAAGTTGAGCCCATATATCTCAGTTCCTGTGAGAGATAACAAAGTTTGGTTAACTTACCAAATTTTTATCATAATACCATCAATATTGTATATGTCGGAGAAATTTTGATATCTTTCACAGGTACCGAGAAGATATCTTTCGCAGGTATCTTTCACAGGTACCAAGAAGTATATGGGCTCAAAATCGGCGGGCACTCTAGTAGAGAGTTTACGGTTTATAAGCGTATATAAATGTTATCACTTTTCATAGATCTATGAAGCTCTCCATAAAGAAAACTAAAAAAAAAGAATGCCTCACCTTCATCATCTGCCTTGCCAACCGAATCGTCATACCTCTAACCCTCCTTCGCAGCTTACTGAACAATGTGCTATTCATTCTGTCCCCTAGTTCAGCTGGAACCAATTTCCATAACCTCGTCACATCATGATACCCAATCCCGTATTCTTTCAACAAATATGCTTGAGCTTCTTGAAGAGACAAAAGACCATCCCGATCAGTATCAATGTTCTGCATATATCGAAGCGCTGCATTCTCAGCCTTCTCCAGAACCAACATCCGTATGGCATCAAACTCGCGGGCGTCTAATACATTGTCATGGTTAGTGTCCACCTGAAATCGGAATAGCATCATGTATTTAATATGACTAAAAGGACACCCACCTGTTTGAACATGTCTTCAACGACAGACGCGGATAATCCGTGATGCACAAATGCGGCATACCTGATTTCATCGATGTCTAACACACCATCCTCGTTCACATCTACACTCACATCGACACGTGGCGAAATGACACGTGGCGGTGGTACTGTCATCTCTTCGGGTGTTTCCTGTATCACTTCGGGGGTTGCTGATGGCATTGTGTCGGATGTCATGGACGAGGAATCTTCTACTACTGAAAAATTAAATGTTCAGTTTAAACTACAAACTTTCTAAACACACCAGCCTGTTTGCCGCGCCTCCGGCGCTTCAAACATCTGGCTGGTGCGCCTTCGGTGCGATTTAACCCAGTTTCTACTCATTCGTCGCTTTGTTACTTCTTAAATGTTCACATCAATTTATGTTTAATTTTCAAGTTTTTCAAAAACGTGCGGACAGAGTAACAAAAGGTGATAGAACTTTATAAAGCTGTTGTAAAGTTGATAGTTACCGTAAAACCTTTAATAGAAGGCATCCCTAACTATGAGCTCATCTATCTTGGTTTTTTCAAAAGATATCAAAAACGTGTCAACTGATAAATTATTTATCAAAATGTCAGCGTAATTTTATCAGTTGACAGATTTTTGATATCTCTCATAGGAACCGAGATGTGGTTCTTCTATTACAGGTTTTGGGGCGTTTATATCGATTCCTAGCTTCTTACTAGCTTCTTAAGTTACCTGGTAAAACTGGAAAACCGTTTGCGATGGTTACCAGTAAAATTGATTGGGTTAACACCGTTATCCGCATTTCTGAAAAAAGAAAAACAACTTCATCTATTTTCAGAATCATTTCAAAGGACATAATGTCAAAACGAAGACCCAAATAAGAGATTAATACTACGAATGTTTACGGAAAGTCATATGAAAATTTAAAAAAAACAAGAGCAGAAATGGAAAAAAAATAGGAGGAGCTAAAATAAATCAAATTTTAAGTGCATTATAATGATTCGAGGGATAAGAAGTGGATGATCCAGGGATACCTAAGGATTTACTGAAAGAAGAGATGTTTGTGCCAGGAAGTGACACGAATATTGGATAATGTTTAAAAACGTAGACTTTCAAAGTCTCGACGTCGTCTGGAGAGTTAGAATAGGTCATAAATCAGAATGTTGAAAGGAATAAGTAGCACTTATGGCAAGATGTTATTTAAAGCTGAAAAATTTGCTATTTTGGAATAGATATTAAGGAGATCAACTGAACAAGTATGGTGAAATGGCATCAGAAAAATGATAGATTTGAAAATTGCAGACATTTTTGAGGAGAAAAAATTATTGTCGAAATTTGCGGCTCTGCGTCACTTCAAAACCGCGACACTTCGAATCCAGTAATTTCGAAACCGTGGAAATACAGGCGAATGGATAAATTTTAGACTGCAAAAACAAGTTTAGGGTTTTCAAATATGCTTTTTCTGACAAAACACATTCTGAAAATCACATTCTGAAAATCCAAAAATTCAAGGATTTTCTTCTTTTGAGAACATCAAATTTTGGGTTTTTCTTAGATTTCAGAATGTATTCTATCAGAAAAAGCACATTTGAAAATTCTAAAATGGTTTTTGTAGTCTGAAATTTATCTATTCGCCTGTATTTCCACGGTTTCGGAATGACCGGTTTCGAAAAGACGCGGAGCCAATTTTGCTACCTTTCTTCATCTTCTTCCCCTTTTTCTTCTTCTTCTTCTTCTTCTTCAAATCTACGCCCTTTAAGATTTCAAAGAAAAGGAAAAGGGACATGTTGTATTTAAATGTTGGATTTACTTTAGTGATGTAATAGACTACGAGGGCTCTCCTTTCTCATAATTATTGAGTCTCACCACATAAGGACATCTTACTTCTTCTCTACTTCTTCTCGTGACTCATTTTTCTTCGAGATTGAATTTCAAAAGCGGGAAATTTCAGAGCGTCCTCTTATTCCTCAGAAAAGAGGAGCCGAAAGTGACGTATTCTGACAGCTGGTCAGTTAAAATTAGAACTCTCTCTGGAGAGTGTAAAGATAATCAGTAGTTACTGAGTAGGTTTGCAAAAACTTCTGTCAAACCGCGACTAGCTCATAATTACTAGTGATGATCTAAATATGTAAGATCACTAAAAATCGTCATGAAGGAAAAGTACAAAATGTGGGTAGAAAATCAGAAATAGGTCGTGATGACATAAACAACAAAAAAGGTATACGGTAAGAGAGCCAGATATCGAAGGAAGTAATACAGAATTCTATGTGAGTTATGAAAACTGGGGTCAGTAACTATTGAGATTACCGTAAACACTCTAATAGAGACCTCCACTTGCACTTTGAGCTCAATCAGTCTCGGGATAAATTTCCGATGTCTTGCAAGGGAGTTTAGATAATGGAGCTCAAACTTGACAATGGTGCCCTTCTATTACAGATTTTACGGTATGTGAAATGTTATCAGACACAATTCAGACAGTTTCAAAATATCATTTTAGAAACCAAGATAATTAAGGTCATAGGAGGTTAGTAGTTGTCTGGAGGAAAATCATCAGACTTCATTTATAATGGAAAAGTTGGATAATTTTCTCGCTTTAAACCCTGCATAGTTCAAGTTTCTTAACAGTAAAAAAGTAATACCCGCAAAACCCTTTTTTCGGAAAGAAAGCGAAACATTCAAAAATTCAAAAATCACAATATTCTCATTCTATTAAATTTTAGAACCCTATTTCTCGTTTTAGCCACGCCCCCAGGAGTTCACTGTAACCAAATGCTACATTTTCAGTCGAAAATCCACAGAAATAGTACATTTCGTATATTTTATTAAATGGAACTACAACAATGAAAACAAATTATTCCCTGCACTTTCCTAGCAATCTAATGGAAAAGGGATATTCTGATATCGTCTTCCTATATCAAATTTCGGATAAAATCATATCTAAAGTTAAAACATATGTTTTCTGAATGAATTGAGAGGTAAAAACAAGCAAGAAAAGTTTTTTTCGGATCTCTGAAGTGGTCCATTCTCCGCTGAAAGTATCAAAAAGAAGTACCGTAATCACTCTATTACATAGAAACTCACCCAAACCGCCAACCGTGAGCTCAACTATCTCGATTCCTGTAACAGATATGAAAAAAATTTGTCAACTGATAAAATATTGGTGATATTATTATAAAGTGTTTATCATTTATCAAAATTTGATACCTTCCACAGGAACCGAGATAATTGAGTACAAAGTTGACAGCTTAGGTGGATTTCTATTAGAGGAAATACGGTAGTTTTGGAAAGAGCTGGGATACTTTTGAGGCGTCAATAACTACAAAATGAACAAACGCATAACTAGCTAGACCACTAGAATTGGCCAAAGAATGGAATACAACATAATTATTATATGGGAAGAACAATGTCAAGTTGTATAACACGTTCTTGAGTAGTAGAAGTATATTACCCTAGTAGACAAGTATCTGGTATTCAGAGTATCTATTCTGACGTGTGACGTCATCAAAACGAAATACAAATAGAAATGGAGGAATTCAGGATTACGGTAGAAGTTTCAAAGAAATCACCGGGGGATAACCCTCAAAAAACAGAAATAGAATATGAGCTTTGATTTCAGACAGGAAGGAAAGGTAAATAGTGTGATTTAAAAAAACAAGCGGTGAGGATTCTAGAATATTCTAGAATCCCAGTAATTATGTGGTTCAGAAGACGTCAGAGAAAGACAAACGGGCGTATCCAATTGACTAAGCTTCTTCTTCTTCGGGAATACAGTGGCGGGGGGCGAAGAAAAAAGATATTAGGGGTGAAATCAAAAGAGAAAAGGGAAAGTTTTTGCGGATTGAAGATGATCGACCCAATTACGGAGAAGAGAGAATTGACGGGGGATATCAGTGATTTTATGAAGACGTCGCTTTTCTTCCACGTCTTCTGAATGTTTAACTCATTTTACTGTTTTCTTGGATAGCCAAGAGAAATGCAACTGGTTATCACCCCCATCAATTACTTTCTTTTCTCCTTTCTTCTTTTTTCCCGAAAGTGATATAGGGATTCTCATATCCCATTTTTTTTGATTTTTGTTTCTTTGAAATCGGGATTTTTCTCGGATCGCTTGCTTCTTGATTTCCTAATTCTGGTTTTTATGTGATTTGATTTTTTGAAAATTTAAAATAAAGGCCTTTGTTGAACAAATCCGGATTCATCGAAAATCGTAATCACTCTTTATATAGAAGACTTTTATATCTCTACTTGAAAATGCTGAGCTCCGAGAACTTCCAGTGATTTTGAAAGTTCTGGGAGACACACCGTGAGAAATTTTGTTACGTAGGCTTATGAAGTGAATCAGAAAGCTAATGAGTAGTTTTCTACTCTACTCAAAGGGTGTAACATTGAAGAGATCACAAATTTTCAACACCGAATTTTGAGTAGTTTGTCAGGACAAGAAAGTATGTATTCTTTCAAATATATATACTCTCTCGTAAGAGATTTCGAAAGCCACACATTCTCGTTTTATGTGAGGAACAGAGTGGCCTAACTTTCTTAACATGATTTTTCTAGGCCATCGTAGTAGCTGGCATAGAAATGGTCTAACATGCACCTGGTGGTTTTCTAGACCTTTTTAGCATGGTGGCCTAACTTTCCCAAAAAATTGGAAATATGAAGTTGAGTTTTCTAGAACTCGGTAGTTGGTTGTTAAGAAAAAATTACAACTGACCTGATAATCACCTGGTAGGCTTTCTAGGTCAGTTTAGAAAGGTGGCCTAATTTTCGCATGTCGAATTTTCTAGGCCACCGATTTTTATGGCCTAGTAATTGTCTGATATTTATGTGGTGTTTTCTAGCCTATTTGCTATGGTGGCCTAGAAAACTCAACTTGCAAAAGTAAGGCCACTTTGCTGAAATAGCCTAGAATTTTTGAAATTAGCCGTTTTTCAAAGAACATTTTGCAAAAAACATAAACTGGGCATAATCCCGTCCATTTCTGTATTCTACTTTTGCATGGGAATTTTTGAAAATCGAAATAAATTATTTTCAGAAGCACATGGATAATTCTAGGTACCAAAAGTATAGACGGCCTCCTAGATTTGTAGTTCGGGAAAAATCCTAGAAGTCTTAGAATTCCCTGGGAATTCTAACACAACAAAAAACCAGCTATTTTTTACCTCGCTAGTTCTGCATAAGGAAATGAAAGGCAACTTATCTCTTCTCTCACCCTTCCAGAAGCATCAATCACAAAATCTGAATTCTTTAGACATCTAACAGAAGATGTCCCGCCCTCTTCTTTCCCTTCTCCACCTTATTTTTCACCCCCTTATTTTTGATTATTTTTCAACCCACAATTTTTCTGACATTTCGAGAATATACATAAATCTCGACCAATTCAGAATTTGTGTGATGACGAAATGAGTTAAGGTGACGGGGGATGGATTGTAGGGGATGTATAGATAGAGAATGAACTCTCGAGAGAGACAGGAATCGTCAAATGGGAATAATAATATTCAGTTTCGTAGTTTCTTGGATTTTCCGGGTTGAGACAGAAGGTGTGAGAATGCTCAAGAGGAAATATATCAAGGAATAAGTTATGGGATTTTCAGAAAAAAGTGAATCATAGATGAAATCTGGGGAGATCAATAGGAAAGCCCATAACCTAGATTAGAAATCCGAAACGCTACCACCAACTTCTGATATTTATTTGGGATTCTGAAGAATTCTGGAGAAATCTGAAGACGTCTTTTCTGAGAAGCGGGATAATGTTCCAAAAAAAGCAATGTCGTCATGTAAGCTTTTCTCGGTTCTCAACGAATTCATTAAGATGTCCACTAATCGGCTTGTTTTGTACTGAAAACATTATTAAAAAAACAGGTGTTTTCCAGAAATGGGTTAATAACTGAAAAACTAGGATTTTTTAAAAAACTCAGGAAATTCAATTTTTCAATCTATCGTGAAACCTTTATTAGAAGGCCCTTCCGTTTTTCTAAGGTACCTCCGGAGGGCTCTTCTTTTACAGGAGCTTCTATTAAATTGTGGAGTTCCCAGAATATTTTCCACTGAAAAAGTACAGAAATTTTCTGATTTCAAAACACATTTCTAAAGGGGGGAAGGGGGGTCGTTTTTTCACAGAGGGCTCTTCTATAACAAAGGGCCCTTCTATTTTTACAAGCCCCTCTCGGATGGCCCTTCGATTAAAGGGGCCCTTTTAATACAGGTTTTACGGTTCATAACTTCTTGATATGACATTCTTTAAGTCCCAGAAAACTTCAAAACAAACTGATATAATGAAAAACTAAAAATTGTGAATAAATGATCTGATTCGTTATCAGAATCTAGACCAAAATTTTGTCGTCGTTGCCCCAGAAAAAGTGCATTTTCTCACGCTAGCCCAGAATTCCCCAAAAATGTGAATTCTCGGGATCAAGCAGATGTTCATGCGTCATAAAGAAATTTCAACTTTTTCTTATTCTTCTTTGGTCTGAGAATATTTTCTTCCTCAATTTTCAATTCTTGAACATTAAATGTCATGGAAGTAATTGTCTGGTGCCCTTTCCTTTGCCCTTTTCTGTTCATTTTTTCGGCTCCATTTTTATGTGACAAACACGACAAAAAAGAAGAAGACGAACCAGATGGGTGGGGAAGACTTAGGGTAAACATGATTAGGTGGAAGATTAGACACCCCTTTGCGCTTGTACAACCGTTTTTTTTTTGGAATGGTGGGGAGGAAAACGAAGAAGACAAACTGTTTGAATAGCCCCAACGAGTTTTTTCTCTTGGATTGGCTGATTCGCTGAGAGAAGAGAACGCATAACATTTTCCAAGCTGGAAAACATATTTTTGTGAGCTTGTCATCCTCTTTCTAGGTTTCAGTTATTTTTTCGAACCATGGCAATTTCCAGATGTATGAGAACGATTCTTCTCAAATTTGGTGTTTTTTTCGAAAAATTCAGATTGCATACTGTTCAAAACTTTTTTGCTAAATACAGGGGCCCTTCAATTAGAGGGAGATCTTACAATTTTTTGGTAATTTTTTCCAAACTTTTCCAAAGAATATTTCGGTGCATTCTCGTTCACAATCTCTACTATTAACAATTACCGAATTCTGTGTGTGTGTGTGTCTGTTTGTTCCCGGTTAGCAGACCCTATTCCTCAAACTTTCACAGATAATTCTAAATAGCACCGAGACAATGCCCGTCTGTTTTGAATTCTATAATATCGAAAATTGAGGTCATGAGGCTACAAAAACCATTTTTTAGGAACATTTAGGTTTTCACAGAAAAATTCGCCGTAATAATCTTCTGGTTAATGAAAATCTATCAATTTCACCAAAATTGAGCACGTTTTTTGAGCAAAAAAGTTTTTCAACGAATTTCTGTTGAATTTTAGAGTTTCCAGAATATTATTCCCTAAAAAAGCACTGACATTTTCTATTCAAAGGGTCCATCTAATACAGGTTTTACGGTGCTTCAAGACTTAAAAAAAATTATTTACAAGACTTTTCCTGGCTTAAATCTTTGCAATTTGACCTATAAAAATGAGTTTTTAGACGATTCTTATTGAGAGTATTCATTTCAAAATCGGTATTTTTTTCATTGTACTTTTGAATTTCAATTCCGATTAGGGGAATCCCCCTCAATTTCCCTCTTTTGGGCATATGATCCTTCTTCTCCCCATACAAAGTACCTTCTTATATCTATAATAATACATCATCTTCTCAAAAAACTGTTCATCCTCTTCTCCTTTTATGATTCCTCATTTGCTTTTTCTCCTTGTGGCCACATCAATCCCTCTCTAAGTTTCTTCCTCTATAATCCTTTAATTACCTGGTCTTCTTCTCTATTCATCTAACTTTTTCTTGCCCTTCTTCCCCCCACAAATGTATACATATTCTTCTTCTTCTCCATGTTCAGTCCTTTGGTGACGTTCTCTTTTCTGTTTCCTCTCCAATTCATCACAACATATACGATAACAGATATCTCTCTCGGACAATTTTCCAGGAGAAAATAGTATGGATTTAGAAGAGGGGGGGCTATTCCTCCGAAATTCCAATCCATTCGCCCCGACCTTTTTCCTCCCCGAAACCACTCTTCCAGAAATTTCTCTCCATTTCGGATGTTCCATTTCAATTTCAATTTCCCTTTTGTACTTTCTTCTTATCCCTGCTTTATGACTTCGGATTTATTGATTGATAAAGTGTTTAGATCTTATGATAGCTACCAGATTTTAGAATTTTGGTAAGCTCATTTTTCCCAGTAGCTTTACTATTTAATGATCATTGCCTGATTTCAAGATCTTATCAGACCGGAAATCAAAAAAAATGTTTTAAAAACATATCAAAATGAATAAAAATCCCGAAACTTCCTGCCAATACTTCTTTTTGGATTTTTGAGTTTCAATTTACCGTAATCACTCTAATATAAGCCCATGCAGTACTTAAACTTTGAGCTCAATTATCTCAATTTCTATGAGAGATAACAAAAATCTGTCAATTGATAAATCATTTATCATAAATTATGATTCATAATCTCAAAAACCTTTTTTTCAGTTGACACATTTCTGATATATTTCACAGGGATCAAGATAATTGAGCTCAAAGTGAGCATGTTTTAGTTTTTATGGTTTTCTAATTTTCCCAAGCTTTTCTTTTTTTTCTTTTTTTTCCCATAAGTATCTATCCGCCCACACTTTTTCATGAACACTTTCTCAAAACATTTAACAAAAACCTCTTTTTTTCTCAAAAACCATTTCCAATTTTCCAGATTATCACAGAATGGCCAACCATGGCCCAAGTTATGGTCTGAGCCGAGAGCTGCAAAAGAAGGTAACCACATTTTTTGCATATAAATTCTTTATTTTTCTTTCTCAGAACGACGCTCGATTCGTCCTGGAAGAAGCGATTGAAGTGTTGACGTGGATTGAGAATGTGACAGGAGAAAGGTTCTCATTCGACGTCACCACCTGTGAATCCTCCACAGATGTTAGCAATCTCCTGAAGGATGGTGTCATGTTGTGTAAACTGATTGAGAAGTTGGATCCACAGTGTCGTGTGGTGTACAATAAAAAACCAAAGATGGCTTTTCCAATGGTTGGTACTGGAAAAAGGGGATAATGAAAAATAAAAAGAGTTTAAGATGGAGAACATTTCCAACTTCTTGGCAGCTGCGAAACGATTTGGTGTTATGGAGATCAGCTGCTTCCAGACTGTGGATTTGTATGAGAATAAACAGTGTTATAAGGTAATTTCGAATTACAGGAAAACGGGAATAGACCTGATTTATATTCACCGAGTTGACAATAATTTTGATTGCGATAATGATTTTTTGTAAAAAAATAGAAAAAAATAGAAAAAATAGTAAGAAAGGTCTAGATGGAAAACTATGTATTCACAGAAGTTTTTGTAAAATCATAGTTTTTCAGTTATTTGCTGATTTCGGAAAGACATTCCTTATGGCCCGTGTTTGTACTGAAAACGTGAAAAAATAGGTGATTTTCAGAAATCGGCAAATAGCTGAAAACTAGGAATTTTTAAAAAATTCTGTAAATACAAAGTTTTAATCTAGGTCTGTTTCACACGCTCCACAGTGTTCGAAGTTATCGTAAACTCGACAGTCGAGCTCCAGAATCCTGAAAATGCCAAAAATCAAAAAAGGTTTTTGTATTGACCGGTACTGTAGATCAAAAACTTTATTATGCAATGCTTGACGGATTTTATTCTTCTAGTTTCTTCTAATTTTATTGTAATATTGTGAATCAAAACCACAGTGGCTCATTAAAAACCGATTATTTCAGTTTCTGGGAACGCTGTTGAAAATCTGCTAACTGATTAATCTCTAATAGAAAACCGTTATATCTGAGCTCAATTGTCTTGATTCCTGTTGAAGATATCCAAAATATGTCAACTGATAAAATTATTAGCATTTAATCACCAATGTTTTATCAGTTAAAAATTTTTGGATATATCTCACAGGATTCAAGATAATTGAACTCAAAGTTGACGGTTTGGGTGTGCTTCTGTTAGAGGAGTATCTTCAAATGAAATTGTTGGAGCACCTCGCTGAGATTCCAGCATTAGAAGTCTATTTATTCGAAAATCCTCTAACATTTCTATATTTCCAAAAAAAGTTTAATTCAGGTAATCGAATGTCTCCGTCTTCTCGCCGCCGTCGCCCAAATGCGTTCCTCCCATCTCGATCATCCAGCGTGGGTTGTGAAACTCGCTCAATCCTCGCCAAGACAATTCCCAGAAGCTGTGATGAGAAGGGGCGAGATGGTTATCCCGTTACAGTACGGTACCAATAAATGTGCATCTCAAAAAGGAATGTCTCCGTACGGATTACCAAGGCAAATCAAGCCAGATCCACATGGATGAGATTTCTGGAACTATGATTTTTAAAGTTTAATCTTGTGATATTGCTTCTTGATTCGCCGTTTTTTTCTAATTTTCTATAATAAAATTTTCTCAATTGGTTGGTTTTAAACTCCAAAAAATCCATTTTCCAAATTCCGAAACTTTGAAAATCAGAATTTTCGGTAATTCCAATAAAATCAAAAAAAAAACTCTAATAGAATTCATCTCGATTCCTATATCTAAAAATGATCAATTAATTACCGTAAAACCTGTAATAGAAGGGCCCCCATACTGTCAAACTTGAGCTAATTTTTCTTGGCTACTGTGCAAGACATCAAAAATGTGTCAACTGATAAAATATTGCTGATAATATGGTAAACATCTTATCAGTTGAGCATTGTTTGATATCTTCCATAGGAACTGAAAAGGGAACCTTTTAAATGAAGGTAGGAGTTAGCAGAAACCACCTACATAGATCGAAAGATCATAGCCGAAAACCTATAAACCAGTTTTCAAAGTCTGCTTACGAGACCATTGAAGTGCTGAAATTTCCGTTTCAGAGCAAAAACACCCATTTTCAGTGTAAAATCGGCGATTTTCAAATTTGATTTTCTTCACTTCTAGGAGGTTTTAGGACTTGAAATGTTCTGTGTAATACTCAAAACTATGTGAAATTTTATATTTCAGACATTTTCTACATTTTCCAAAAAAAAGTTTTTTGGGCCCAGCGAAAATCTAGGCAAATTTTTGAGTTCTTTTTTTTTCGCTCTCACCGGAAAAGTTCATTTTGCCATCAAAACTTCTTTTTGAACTTTTGAGTTATTGTAAAACCTGTATATTAGAACTTGTTTTCTTGTTTTCTTCCAGACAGAAATATGAGGGAATATGATGATGAAGTCTCTGAACGAAATTATAAACTCATAAGGTTCAGGAATTCCGACGGGGAAATGCGATGGTATTGGCCCAAGATGAAAGAAGACACGGAAGAATCGAGAACAATCAAAGATGTCTTTATTCCAATAATGTTGAAAAAGATGAGGGCTGAGGGCCCGACTGTGGATCAAAAGGTTCTCAAGAAGAAGAATGCAAAGAGCAAGAAGAAGAAGTGTTGTACCATTCCTCTGAATGAATATTTTTATTGATTTACTGTAATCATTGGGGAAATTGGGACGCCCATCATCATTCTCATAATAAATAAATGAAGTTGCGTCTCTTTATTTCTCTCGGTCAGTTTGTCAGCTCATTTTGAAAAGCTTGAAAATTAAATGTGAAAAATTAAATGTGTACGTAAAAAAAGGAGAGGAGCAAAGCGACGAAAAATAAAAGAAATAGGTTGATGCGCGCCGAAGGCGCATCAGCCAGCAGTTTGAAGTTCCAGAGGCGCGGCAAACAGACTGGTTCTTTTTATTAATGAATCCTCACACTGTGAATAATTTACAAAATTTTTTTTTCCGATTTGCTGGCACTCTTTTCAATACATTGGAAAATTATATTTTTCATCATTTAAAATATCTGGGTCAGAAATTTTGTTTTCAAAATAAGTAACAATTATAACAGCAAAAGAAAACACAAAATGAGCCGAAACACGTCAAATTTGGTTGAGAAGCAATGAGGAAATCACTTGGGTTCAAGCCAATGGGTCAGAAATCGCGAAAAACGAAAAAATCACGCGTTGCAACTCGTTGATTAAAGGAGGACTCCGACCAAAAATTTTTTAAATGCTCAAAAAGTTGTCTGTTTTCCCAATATTGTAGCGAAAAAATTCGAAAAAAATCCGAAATCCCCGAAAAATGCCGTTAAAAGGGAAAAACTTTCAAAAAAAAGTTGCTAGGAGGAAAAAAAGTTGCTAGGAATTTGAATTCCCGCGCAGTGAGAAACCTAGGCTACGGAGCCTGATAGCCGTTTTTCAAGTGGCCGACAGTGGTTTTTAAAGTTTTTTACCTGCCGGGCATGAAAACCGAAAAAATCCGGAAAATTTTCCATGTCAGAAAGGCGCTCTGATGCCGTGGCCTGCGTTTACATGAAATTTAGTGTCAAAAATGCGAAAGATGACAGTGTGATGGTGCTGGTTGACTGCGAGAGCTTCATGTTCAAACTCAAAAATCCTAAATCTCAAAAAGGTCTCGTGACACAGCAACTCCAGGTCTTGAAGAAAGGCGAGGTGATGGAAGTGGGATTGGAATTCAGAAATCCGGATGTGAGTTTCATGATTTCAAAACGACTGAAATTCGGAAACTCTTTTTTTAGGAGGATAAAAAACACTTGCCAGGCTCTTATCATTTCGAAAATGCACAAGGGCGAATCATAATCTTTCATGCTGACATCGATTCCTTTATTTTGGGTATGATATTAAAATCAGTTCATTAGGAAATAATGTTTTCATATAGTCAGAAGAAGTTGTGATTATGAATTATATGACCGAGAAAAAGCACCCCCTCATTATCTCATGAAGTTCTATGGTTTCGAACATGTAAGTAACCTGGCTTTGCTAACGGTGAAAGAAGACACGGAACAGTCGAAAAAGATCAAAGATGTTTTCTGTCCAATAATGTTAAATAAGAGGAGGAAGGCTGCGAGTGTGAATCAAAGGTTCTCGAAAAGAGAAATGCAAAGAGCGAGAAGAAGAAGTGCTGTACTATTATTTAGAACTCTCCAGAATAAAGCATTTTTCATTGATCTACTGTATTCATTTGGGAAATTGGGATGAAAGGGGCACTACGAAAAGCAAATTAAATAGGTCAAATCGCGCCAAAGACGCACCAGAAATACAAATTTTGAGCTTTTTGTTGTTCTATAGAACGCCACCCCTAGTTTTCAGCTTCAGGCCAATTTATTTCAATTCCTGTGAAAAACATCAAAAATGTGTCAACTGATAAAATATTTTTGATAATATGATAAACATTTTATCAGTTAACAAATTTTTAATATAATTTACAAGGAATGAGGTATATGTTCTTAAAGTTGATGGTTTGGGTGGCATTCTATTAGAAAGTTAGAAAGTTATCTCAATCCCAATTTATTTTCGCGTAGAAAAAAAACCGAATATAAAAAATTGTGAAATTTTTCTCAGATTCCAACAATTCAATCAATCATTATTGTTCATCAGTTCATCCTCGGAACAACATTCTCAACATCGATCAACACTAGCAATGTCAACTTCTTCTGAGCCAAAGGAGTTCTACCTCGAAATAACGCCTAACAATTTTGAAGAAATCACACCTGAAAACATGAAATTTCGTGTAAAAAATGTGAAAGATGAGATTGTGATGGTGTTGGTTGACTGCGAGAGCTTTATGTTCAGAATTAAGGATCCTAAATTTCGAGACGTTCTCATCACACAGAAGTTCGAGTACTTGAAAAAGGGTGACGAGATTGAAGTGGAATTGGAATTCAGAAATCCGGATGTGAGTTTAAGGGTTTCGGAATCACGGAAATTCTGAAACATATATTTTTAGGAGGATAAGAAGCACTTGCCAGGAATGTATAGTCCTGAGAATGCAGAAGGGAAAATGACAATCTCCCATGCTCAAACTAACCGCACTATAATCGGTAAGATATTATAATCAGTTCCATAGATGATAATGTTTTTATTTAGTCAAAAATGATACGCATTGTTATGATGATAAAATTTATGACCCAAAAGAGGCATCTCCATCTGATCTCATAAAGTTTTATGAGCACCAGGAAGTAAGTCGACAGTTTTCGCTTAAGATGAAAGAAGACACGGAAGAGTCAAGAAAAATCAAAGCTATCTTCATTCCAATAATGTTGGAAAATATGAGGGCTAAGGGCCCGACTGTGGATCAAAAGGTTCTCGAGAAGAAGAATGCAAAGAGCAAGAAGAAGAAGTGCTGTACTATTCTTTAGAACTCTCCTGAATAAAGTTCTTTTTATTGGTCTACTGTAATCATTTGAGAAATTGGGATTTGAGGGGCACTCGAGTTTCAAATTTTGTACTCAATCAACTAGTTATTTAATCGGTGGATTATCATAAAAACATTAGGACAGACAGACAGACGCGTGTAGCGTTTTATATATAAAGAAGATAGCCCATGATATTTATTCTATTCAGCCCATAACTTTGTACAAACGAAAGATTTCTGATCGAAATTTTGAGTGGAAGCTTAAAATGGAACGTAGAACGGTACGCGGCAAATAATTCACAAAAAGCGCACAACTGGTGATTGTTGACGCGTTTCTCGTGCATCGAAAAAAAGCAAAATTCAAGGAGTTCAAAAGAAATTAATTTGTTAGTGAACCGACATATTGATGGGTTTGAGAGTCTAGGCATCACTTTTTCCCTCAATTCTTTCCTTTCTAGGTCATTCCGCGCCAATCCAAGCCAAAAGTTCCACACAAAAACTATTTTGGAAAAAACAGTAAATTTTAGCCAAAATCTACAGTAATCCGATCCGAATCTGATTGGTTCAAAACCTATCTCCTCCCTCATTTTTGAGTGTTTTCGAAAATAATGTATACCAAAATGTTTGCGAGAGAATTCTGCACAAAAGTTACTTAATTAGAAAAATTCAAAATCGACAGTATTTTTAATAGATCCCCAGAAACCTCGAAAAATTGAATGTTTCAGTTGATTTTCTAAAAAAACGTATCTCCTTCTTCAATTTTTAACCAAACTTGACGCTTTTAGGCTCATTTTGTGTGTTTTTGCCCCCTTCATAATTCTTACTTATTTTGAAATTAAAATTTTCGACCCAGAATTTTTTAATGCCGAAAACCCTAATTTTTCACCGTATCGAGAAAAGCGCCCACAAATCAGAAAAAAAAAATCAAATTTCGTAAATTATTTACCGTGCTCTATCCCAATTCATTTTTGCGTAGAAAAAAAAACAGAAAGTTAAAATTTTTTCTATCTTGATCAGTTTCATAAGTTTCAATCGAACAATATTCAATATCTCTCGCGATGTCAGAGTATTCAGGATATTATAATGCAAGAGATTACTGGCTCGATATAACACCTCAGCGTTTTTTACATGAAATCACACCTGGAAACATGAAATTTAGTGTCAAAAATGCGAAAGATGACAGTGTGATGGTGCTGGTGGACTGCGATAGCTTCATGTTCAAACTCAAAAACCCTAAATCTCAGGAAGGTCTCGTGACACAGAAACTGAAATCCGGATGTGAGTTTAGGAATTTCGAAACGATGGAAATTTTGAAACGTATCTTTTTAGGAGGATAAAAAGCACTTGCCAGGAGTATATAGTCCTGAGAATGCAGAAGGGAAAATGACAATCTCCCATTCTGACATTGGTTCCTTTATCTACGGTAAGGTACTATAATCAGTTCAATATATGATAATTTGTTCATTTAGTCAGAAATATAGAAGTTCATGAAGATGAAATCGGTGAACCCTATGACATAGAAAACGCACCACCAAATCATCTCATAGCGGTCTGTGGCGTAAAACGTCGAATCACTATGCTGAATATGAAAGAAGACACGGAAGAGTCGAGAAAAATCAAAGACGTTTTCTGTCCAATTATGTTCAATAAGATGAGGGCTGAGTCTGATGGCCCGAGTGTGGATCGAAAGGTTCTCAAGAAGAAGAATGCAAAGAGCAAGAAGAAGAAGAAGTGTTGTACCATTCTTTAGAACTCTCCTCTGAATAAATATTTTTATTGATCTACTGTAATAATTTGAGAAATTGGCATTTGAGGGACACAATTTTCAACTTTTAGAACTTTATGAACCTTTTTTTAGAAAGACACCTTTTTTTCCCGTTTTCAGTACAAAACGGGCCAAAAAGGGGTCTTCCCGAAATCGGGGAATATCTGAAAAGCTAGAAATTTTTTAGAAATCCTGTAAATGTTTTCAATCTAGGTCTGTTTTAAACCCTTCAAAATTTTCAGAGTAAAGACTCGAAGATGCCGAAAACCAACTGAAAATACCCTCGTTGTGATTTGTGTTTTGACGGTCGATTCTTTTCACTTCACCGATTTCGTCACTTTTCTCTCATAATCATCCTGATAACCGAAGAACTGATAAAAGTACTTAACGCCTTTTTACGAAACATCTTTGTATGTTTTTTCCGAGTGATTTATTCTCGAATTCCGTATCCAATTGTAGTCATTTATAAAAGCCGGAAGATGGAGTGAAACAACAAAGAATGAAACTTGGACAGGTTTTGTGTGTACCGAATGATCCCAATGATTTTCGCATATTATTTTTCTAAGGTTTCAAAAATTTCTAGTTTTTTTTTTTTTTTTGAAACTCGTCTTATGGGTGCTCTTCTTGTTTTCCATTTTTCACATTTTTTAATACTTTCAGACAATCATTTTGTTTCAGATCTTAAAATGTACGAAAGGCGTAGATATTTTTTTCTTGATCTTCAAAAAACGTGCCATTTGCTATTCTGTACTTGTACTTTGTTGCGTTACTCGTTAGGCTCCGCCCACTTCTCCTCTTCTAACGATTCAAAAGTTCAATTCGCACTTTTTTTCAAAATCTTCACATTTTTTGAATGACATTTTTTGATATATATTTTTTAACAAACTTATGAAGATTTCTAGGAATATGTCGGCGGTCAGCCCTTTCAAACTTATACCGTAAGACCTGTAATAGAAGGCCCCCCACACTGCCAAGTCTGAGCTCAATTATCTCAATTCCTATGTAAGATATCAAAAATGTGTCAACGGATAAAATGTTTATCATAAAATCAGACACATTTTATCAGTTGAACACTTTTTGATATCTTTCACTGGAAACGAGATGTGTGAGCTCAAATTGAACGGTTTGCTGGCGTTCTGTTAGAGTGTTACCGGTAAAAAAATCAACTATAGAAATGAATTGGAATAAAATTTCATAAATTTCATAAGCTGACAACATTTTGAAATTAAGAAAAAAAAACTGTTAGAAATCAAACAAGACCAAGTCAGCTGATCAATCTCATTTATTTCCTACTCATGATCCTCTCAATCTATAGGTTGTATACACAATACACAATAATACAAGCTGTGTTATTGGACACTTAATGATTTCTTATGATTTCTTGATCCCTCAAATAACCGACATAATATATCATTTCTATTGATAATATACTTTGCATAGAGAGAGGAAGAGAATGAAACAGGTCTCTTTCCGAAATTCAAACACAGCGACTTTTTGTACGTGAGATCTCTTCGCTTCCCTTCCTAGGCACTATTCCAAATGTACGTGAGTATCAAAAGGTGAAATAAGATGGGTAGGCTGAGATAAGAAGAAGGCGACTTGCGACCAATATCTTCTCCTCTCTTGTCTTCAAAAAGGGAATATCAATTGCCTACGGAAGTCCTCCCCCCCCCGAGAAAGAGATCCAAACTGGATGGTGGTCAAGATGTTTTTATTTGGTTTAAGCCATCGTCACAAAAGGCACACTTAGGTGAAAATGACACAGATTGATTGCGAAAGTGGTTGCCATTGATAGTGATGATGATGAAGTAGCTTGTTAATGAAGCGCGTTCAAACTGTGTATTTTGCGGAAATCATAAAATAATTGATTTGTAGTTCTGTTGTTGGTCAAAGTACTGCATGATATGACAGAAAAAAATGGTCTTGAACGTAATAGAGCTTTTGGGGAATCGAAGACTTGTACCCTATCACATCGTGTTCAATATGGCACGATTTTTTAAAAGCTAGACAGTAGTGTTTCCCGTTTAGGTTTTCTGAAATGATGTGAAAGTTCTGAAATTTCCTAACAGATACCGTATCTAATAGAAGCACACCCTGTACATGCCTCTTTCAGCTCAATTATCTCGATTCCTGTAAAAGCTAACAACATTCTCTCAACTGATGAAATACTGGTGATATTATGATAAACAATTTAACAGTAGACAAATTTTGGATTTCGTTAACAGGAATCGAGATAATTGAATTCAAAATTGACAATTTCGGTAGGTTCGACTCGAATGAAATTGTCAAACACTTGCAGAAAATCCTTCTAAAAAATTCTACAAAGAATAAATTTCCAAAAAAAAAGCTGTTTCGGCGATAAGAGTGTTCGGTTGATTTTAATTCGAACTGACAATTGAAGTTGCAGAGATAAGATATCTATGGATCTAGATTTTCAATCTTTGGTTGTATTACTGTATTGGCTGAAATTTTCAGCCGAATATGATAATTTCAAAGTATCAAGTTTTGAAGAAAAGTCCTGAGAATTTAACTGTTAAAACGGAATTTGTACAATTTGTTACTTCTATTCGAAAAATTGAGGTACAGTACCGGTCCATATACAAAAACGATATACAAAAACGTATTTTTCCGTTGATTTTCGGCCATTTTCAGGAGTCTGGAGCTCGGCTGTCAAGTTTCCGATCACTTTGAAAACTTTGGACGGTCTAAAACAGACCTAGATTGAAAACTTTGATTCCACAGAGTTTTTTGAAAATTTTCAGTTTTTCAGTTATTAGCCGATTTGATTTTTGAAGGACATCCTTTCGGTCCGTTTTTTTTTGGTAGCTTGGCAAATAGCTCGACAAATAGCTGGAAACCTAAGAATTTTCAAAAATTCTGTGAATGAAAATTTTCCAGAGGCTCCTGAAAATGGTCAAAATGGCTAAAAATGGAAATGCTGAAAATCGATTAAAAATATCTTTTTGTATTTCTTATTGAAGCTACACTTTAAAAGTTAGTATTACGTTTTTGTTTTTTCATTAATTCTAAGTTAAGGATTCCTGACCGTTTTTATTGTTTTCAGAGCGTTTCAAAATCACTAGCAGCTCTGCTGATGACAAAAACTTGATAATCTTCTCTCCTGATATCTTATCGGCCGCCTAGCTTCATTTCTATTGGTCATGGGTACTGTACATCCAGAAATATCCATCCATACAGATTCCATACCAATCTCCCCGGTACAAAGTGCATAATTCTAAAATTCTAGGTCGGTTAGAACTACGGGTGCGGTTTGCTGTCTGACATTCGATATTCATCGCTTCCTATCTATTTCTGATCGTTATCTGAACGTTTTTTTCTCAAAAAGAAGAGACAGACATGATGGAATTCCTGTCTCGGTCAGTCGAAGGCAAAAAAGGAACGCAAAAAGTGGATTACGGCACGTACAGGACGCGTGTCAAGTTTTTCAGTGTGTAAATGACATGCTGCAGGAAACGATATACAGTAATCTTAAAATCTGGGGAGATGTTTCTGGAAGTGCTTCTAAAGACATAGAATGGACTAAAACAAAAACTAATAGTAAGAGAGTGTGTGATGGGTGAAAAAAAAAATTTATTTTGAAACTTGTATTGGCTCCGCAACGTTTTGAAAACAGACACTTTGAAATTGTGAAGCTTCCCAAGTTGTATGACTTCGATTTTCGAGTGTATGACTGTGATTTGTCATTGTAATTCTGGAACTTCGCAAGGCAGTTTTCTGGTAAAAGCTTCAGAGCGTATAACATTTTTCAATGCAATAAAATTCGAGTTTTTGGTTTTAGCTAGTTCCCATCGAAACATCACACTCTTGAAAAGTATTTCAAATGTTTCGATCTGTCCGAAAAGCTTCAGAGGAGTCGGGCTGAATCGAAACTCTATTTTTGCAATGGGCAGCTTTTCTGAATAATTTCGTCTAGGCCTGGTATACCAAACTGAAGTAATTAGATATACGAAAACGTATTTTCAGTGGATTTCCAGATGTTTTGACCGTGTTCAGGAGTCTTGAGCTCGGCTGTCAAGTTTATGAACACTTTGAAATTTTTGAAGGATGTAAAACAGTCCTAAATGAATACTTTGCATTCCCAGAGTTTTTCGAAAATTAATAATTTTCAGTTTTTTGGCGATTCTTGGAAGACGTCATTTTTGGCCCAACAAAAATGTTATACTAACTCTTAAAGTGTAGCTTTGACTCTGATTACCTTAGATTTCTAAAAACACCGAAAAACTGATGACCTACAGTACCGGCGAATAAAAAATACAAAAAGATGTTTTTCAATCGATTTTCACCATTTTTAATCAATTTGACCATTTTCAGGAGCCTCTGGAAAATTTTCATTCACAGAATTTCTGAAAATCCTCAGGTTTCCAGCTATTTCCCGATTTTGCAAAGACACCTGCCTTTTCTCGTTTTCAGTTAAAAAAACGGGCCTAAAGGATGTCTTTCAGAAATTGGCTGATAACTGAAAAACTAAAAATTTTCAAAAATCCTGTGAATACAAAGTTTTCAATCTAGGTCTGTTTTACACCCTCCACAGTTTTCAAAGTGATCGAGAACTTTGAATGCCGAGATTTAGACTTCTGGAGATGACCAAAATGACTGAAAGTCAACTTGACCGGTAGTGTAGTATTTTTGGAGGCAAAAGGGAACTTTTTCCAGGTGCCCTACTGAAACTCTCCAGTCTAAGGCTTTGAGCAGTAACTTGATGAACATAGAAAAACAAATGTTGGCCCACTTTTAAGGGTTAGAAATCTCTCCTAAATTATCGTATCCTGAATTTCAACCATTGATCTCTCTATACTTGGATCAAGCCAGCTCGGAAATTTCGATCTATTTCGTGTTCGGATAACATATTGACCTCTTCTCTTCCATTCTATTTCCTCTTTTTCTTCCACTTATCACTCATTCGCACTAATTGGATATGATACACTGACCAATTCCACATTCTTCCATCTCATCACCCACTATCGTTCATCACCCTAAGCTTTATCACTTTGCAATTTGACAGCTTTCCTTCGGCAGATTTCGTGAGAAATGCAAAATTTTTGGTCCTAGAAAATATTGATGAAGAGGGGTATCAGTTTTCAAATTATTTAGCAACATGTGAAACTGGGTAATCAGGTGGAAACTAATTGGATAAAGTGAATTGGTCAGAACCTGATGAGAGAAGAAGCAGTGAGAACGACGAGGTATTGATACATAATTTGTTTTTGCTAATCTGTGATTGTTTCGGGAAACTACGCGGGAAAAAGAGAAAGTGGTCAAAAAAGTGCGGGGGATACGGTAGCCGAAGATATCAGTTTAGAGAAAGAGGAGGATACTGTAGAGACATCGTTTTAGAGACGTTTAGGCTAATTCAGAAGTGGTGAATCTGAAAGGAGCATTATTAATATTCCCGATGTGCTCAACTGATGCCTAAATTTTGCTTTAATCGAAAACTGTCAACTTTAGACTTCGGAAAAAATGAGATCTCAAATTTTCAGACCTGAAGACTTTCAAGTTCACCCAGCAAACCTCATTCGTTAAGTTCCAAATGGGTAGTCACAGATATCGGTTTAGAGATAGAAGGGGTTACTGTAGAGCTTCAAGCTTCATTCTAAAATAGTTTAGACTAAACTATGTAGATGACTGGTAATTCAGAAGGGGCTAATCTGAAGAGCATTATTAATATTTCCGATGGGCTCAATTGATGCCTAAACCTTTCTTTATCAAAAGTTGTCATTTTTCGGTGTCTGAAAAAGCCAAGTCTGTAATTTTCAGATCTGAAAACTGTTGGGTGTTCCTAAAAAACTTAACAACATATTTTTTGCTCACTTTTTGAATCCTGCCTTTTTTTGAGTGGCGTTGTTGTTGTCTCCACTGACACGTGTTATATATTTTTCAAAGAGTAACGATATACATGAAGCTCTCAAGAACGACATTCGAGCTCTAAATTGACTGATAAATTCTATCATATACAGTAAATGTCTTTTTATGGAATATCAGAAGTTATCGGACTAGAGGGAAGTTTTTAGGCATACAAGTGACACGACTACGGTAAAGCCTGTAATAGAAGGGCTCCCGCGCTGTAAAGTTTTGAGCTGAATCAAATGGAAAAATTATGCCTAAGTTAAGATTTAACCATTTTTTCAAGTTTTGGTGTTGTTCCACTAAAATGCGTGCTTTGAACATTTTTCATCATTTTTTGAAATTTTCAGTTTATGTCATTTTTTACACATTTTTGTATAATTCTTTTGTTCCTAAGCCTAAATTAATCAAATATTAACTTAATAACATGAAAAATTATACAGTTACAACAGCAAAAACAGTGTTGTTCATGGAAAAAACGACCTAAAATGAACTTTTTTTGAAGTTATGCATTTTTATGGAAACAAGCGCAAAGTACGAAATTTTCATAAAAACAGTGACAAAACTTGAAAAATCGAAAAATCTTAACTTAGACATAATTTTTACCCATGGGCCCCCTGATAAATAAAAAAAAACCCCATAACTAAGAGCATCCTTTGACCAAATTAACCCTAGTTACCATAAAACCTGTATTGAAAGGGCTCTTGTATCAAAGGGTATCCATCTAATACAAGTTTTATGGTAACTGAATTATGACTAATTATGTAAAGACTTGGAACAATTCGAGACACCCCCCCCCCCTTCAAAAAGCAACTCTTCTCACCAAACTGTCATCCTCTTGTTCTGGAACAATCGACATAAGTCTTGGAGAGACCATCTTCAAAGTCTTTTGATCAAAATCAGTCACATTTTGTCCTCCGAACATCATAGCGGNCTTGACTGCTTCTCTGAGAAACTTCAGTGGCACACGAATCTCTTCCTTCTCCTTTTTGCGCATCATCTTTGTGA